GAATAGACCCTGGTACCCCGTTCTCTTTCAGATACACATTATAGGAGGGCTGAGTGAATACAGGAGCATTATCATTCACATCAGTGATGGTTACTGGGATATTTTTACTACTAGAAAGTCGAGGAGAACCTGAATCTGTTGCTGTAATCTCTATATTATATTGTGAGATTTTTTCTCTGTCTAACGGACCGTTTGTTAAAACTTCATAATTATTAGAATAAGAAGGCTTCAGGGTGAAAGGAAACCATTTAGGAAGCTGTAACACCACTTTACCGTTTTCGCCAGAGTCCAGGTCTCGCGCACTGATCAGAGCCACTACGGTCCCGCTTGGTGCGTCCTCGCGCACAGCACTGGGTTTAGAAGTGACCACAATCTCTGGGGCATTATCATTCACATCCTCTAAATCCACCTGCACACGACAGTGACCCTCCATTTCAGGAATGCCTCTGTCTTTAGCAGTTACATCGATCAGGTACGATTTAGTAGTTTCATAATCTACAGGTCCTTTTAATATAATTTCTCCAGTTAGTTCATTTATTTCAAATGTTGTTAACACAGACTCTGGAGTACGAGAACTGAATGAATAATTAATTTCACCATTAGGACCGTCATCAGCATCTATGGCAGTAAGTTTTATTACTATGGCTCCTTTGGTGCTATTTTCTTTCATAGATATTTTGTAAAAATTTTCATTAAAAGTTGGGAAATTATCGTTATTATCAAGCACTGTGATTGTGATTTTACAGGTTCCCGATCTAACAGGAATTCCTCCGTCTAATGCTGTCAGTACCAGCTGATGTCGAGCATTCTTTTCCCTGTCTAAGGGTTTCTCTAACACTAATTCTGGGACAGATTTTCCATTTTTAAATTCTTTAAATTTTAGTGAAAAATATTCGTTTTTGCTAAGCGAGTATGTTTTTATGGAGTTACTTCCAGCATCAGCGTCCTCTGCGTTTTCTAACGGGAAACGTTTACCCAGAGCTACAGATTCGGGTATTCTGAGATTAATTTCTTGCGTCAGAAAACTCGGRGAATTGTCATTAATATCTCTGATCTCCACCTCAATTCGATGAGACTGCAAAGGGTTTTCAACAACTACTTGCAGCGGCAGAACGCAGCTGGCGCTCTGTCCACATAAAGCCTCTCTGTCTATCCTGTCATTCACCA